GCGGGGCCTCCGCTGCCCAACGGCCCCGGCTCGCCGATGGCGTCAGCGCGCCGCATGCGTCGGGGGCGGGGCTGGAGGGGGCGGAGCCCGGGGAAGGACGTTTGTGATTGGTGGACGAGGCTCCCGCCGGGAAGTTCGGAGTGAAGTCGGGAAGCCGGGAGTCTGGTGCCGGCGGCGGTTCGGGCTCCTGCGGGGTAGCGGCTGCTCGGGGTCGTTGCGCTATCGCGTCGAGGGTCGAAGTTCACGGTGAGGTTTATGTGGTCAGGGACAGAGCAGGATAATTCTGGAAGTCTTTCGCGTGCCCCCGAGCGGAAGCGATCTCCTTTATCTTGCAAACAAACAAACAAACAAAAAAAAATGTGTGCATTTCCCGTTGGTAGAGGGGGCAGGGCGCATTGAGGAGACTGAGGATCGCCCTGCTTGCTGACACATTTACTGTAGCGGGTGTGTACAGCCGATAGGACTTTCTATCTAGGGTTTTGTAACCAGTTTGAAAACTATAGGAAAGCTATGAGAACAGCAGCTTCTGATGTCTAATTGTGTCGAAAGAGTACTGGGCCAAGTTTATGCTAAAGACGGGAAAAATATTTTAAAAAATATTTTTAAAAGTGTTCTTTTAACACTGTTTGTGCGGACATGAACGTGGGTTTGTTTACCGGTGTAGGCCTGAGGTGGACTTTGGGTGTGAGGAGTGAGAGTCCTGGAAAGGAGTCGAAACTTAAATTGAAGTTTCTGCAAGACTGAAAAACTGCTTAGAACTTGAGCGACTGGGGAGAAGTTATACTGTCGCAAGTCCTGAGCCTCATTATAATCTATCTTGAGCTGCCTTTAGCCTTTCCTAACCCACCTGTGTCCCTGAATGGCCAGCTTCCTGGTGAATATCAGGTGAGACCTTTGGAATGTGTTAGCTTCTTAGCAGGGCGGCAGCTTCCACCAGCCCAGAAGCTAAGAAAGTTCACAGATTACATCTGGGTGGGGCCAAAAAAGAGATTGTTCCACCTGATGTTTCCACCGATGTTTTGGAAAGACTTAATTTATGTAGGATGTTCTATGTTGATACTGTAAAACTTCAGCTCACTCACTCAGTTCACCTTTGAAGTGAGAGCAGTGTCTTGTGTCCTCCCTCTCCATCTTTTTAACGTTTTTATTTGTTGACTTCTTGTTTGACAGCAGCTCACTGAGCTGGAACTCATGGAGTGGGCTACACTGGCCTAGCCAAGGAGCCTCAATGATTTGCCTGTTTCTGCCCTCCCAGCTTTGGGATTACCTATGTGGGTCGCTGGACTCTCAGTATTTTGTGGATGATGGAGATTCAATTCAGGTCCTCTCACACTTTAGAGAAAGAATGGGGCACTATACCTCCCAGCCTTATTCTGCCTTTTAAAAGTTCTTGTATTTGTAGCAGACACAAATTAGCAAATAATAAAATAAAATAAAATTTCTTTAGTGAATGAGAATGACCACCCCCATAGACTCATATTCGACCACTTAGCCTCTATCTGGTGGAACCATTTGAGAAGGATTACGATGTGTGCACATGGAGGTGGCGCATCACTGGGGGTGGTTTTGAGGTGTCAAAAGCCCACACCGTTCTCAGTTTGCTCTCTGCTCCATGCTTATGGACCAAGACATAAGCTCTCACCTTCTACACTAGCCGCATGCCTGCCTGCCACCGTGCTCCCTGCCCCGATGGCCATGGACTCTAACCCTCTAAAACTGTAAGCTTCATATTAAATGTTTTCTTTTGTAAGTTGCCTTGGTCATGTTTTTTGTCTGTTTGTTTGTTTGTTTGATCACAGCAATAGAAAAGTAAGACAGAAACCAAAAATATTATTCAATTTCTATTACAAAGCATATAGATTGCTTTATAAAATAGCTAGTTAAGAAGACATAGGGGTTAATTGTACAATGATTATTATACTCCCACCAAGGAGGCCAGTCTGGACTTCAGTTCTGCAGTCACGTGTTACTTTCTCTAGGCAAAGGACTGTTAGGTTTCAGTCTCCAAGCTCAAGTAGGACTTGTATTGCTAATGTAGCTTTTGATTCCTATGGTTTGGTTCTCCAGGTCAACCGATGCAGTGATTGTGTGTGAGTGCATGTGTGTGCTAACAAGTCTCCATGCACGCCACTGTAACATATAATTTTGCCCCAAACACTCTAGATGGAATAAAGATATAGAACGAGTCCAGTTAGGGATTTGAAAGCTTATTTCAACAAGTTTTGCTAGCTAAAAATGACACATTTTATGTTTTATTTTCCTGTAACATGAGTTGAATATACTTTGGGGAAATATGAATCATGCATATCACGATTATATAGACGAGCACTCAGTGAAACCCCTGCATGTAGTGGTGAACAGTATTTGAATATATTATCCACTACTCACTGTCAGGAAAATATAATCAATTAAAAACAAGTTAATTGTCAACAAAATATTATTAGGTGAAATTCAACAGTGTGTAATGAGAATTATGCATCACAACCAAGTGGGGTGTGTAGCTTGGCATGATGGTGTGCACCTATAACCCCAGACTGAGGAAGGAGGAATATGAGTTCGAGACCAGTATGGCTACACAATAAGACCCTGTCTCAAAAGGACACAAAAAAGAGATTGCTCCCTTGAATAAATCTTGAGATTTATTCTAGCAATCAAAGATTGGTTTTACATTGGAAAAATCAATATTATATGCCATATGAATATCATAAAACTAAAAATACCATAGACATCTTAATAGACATACACAAAAAATATTGGCAAAGCCTAGCATGCTCTTATGATGTAAACCATTCAGCAAACCAGGAATAAAAGAATTTTCTCGACCTAATAAAAGTCATTATGAAAACCTACAATAATGTAACACTTAATGGGTAAAAGATTGAATATTTCCACTAAAAATAGAACAAGATAAAAATGTTTATTCTTGCAGCCTCTAATCAGTATCACTCTATAAGTTTAAGCAGAGTAATTAGGCAAGGAAAAAAGAATCCAGACATAAATGGATTTATGAAGACATAAATCTGTGCCGATGCCTTGATACTGTATATGGAAAAATCTGAAGGAACCTACTGAAAGTAATAAATGAGTTGAGCAGTGTTACAAAATCAATATGCAACAATCAAGTGTTTTTCAGCTGTTGGTAATGGAAAATCTAAAAATAAAGTAATAAAAATTTCATTTACTCTAGTAAAAATATACTGATGAGTACATTTAATGAAAGAAATGTAGAATGTGCATGCTAAAAGCCATGAAGCTGTTTAAAAATTAAAGAAAACGTAGATAGGTAGAAATAAAGCTAACGTCCATGTTTCAGAAGATGTTATATTGTTGAAGTTGCTGCTTCTTTCAAAATCGATCTGTTAATTCAGTGCTACCCACATTAAAAATCCCATCTTATTTTGCTGATTCTGAGATGCACAGAGCCAGGGGTTCAAAATATAATCTACATCCTTCTTGGGAAAGACTCACAATTTTCCATTTCAAAACAGCAATGCTGTGTTGATTAAAGTGGTGTCTACAGTCGTAATGGAGAGGGTTAGGATAGCAGGTCTTCTCAGAGCCTGGTGACTCCACATAGCCCAAGTTACCACGAGGAGGAGATACCCACTGTGAAGATCCAGGATGGCAGGATGCCATTTCCTCCTGGAGTCCCAGTCCTGCAGAGACTGACAAAGAGAGGGATGGAAGAGTTAGAGCCAGCCCACCCTCTCAGGATTCCCAGCTCAAGAAAATACAGCAAAAGAGAGTAACAGATAGGTTTCTGGAGATGGAGCTTTGGTTTTCTGTTTTCTAATACCAGTGTCCTTGACTGAGAGAACAAGCCATGGCATTGACTCCAGAAGTTTCTAGAAGCTACCAAACTTTCTGGCCTAATGCTCACCATAGGAAAGTAAAAGTTACTGGGCTCAGCTAGCCAATGCTTTGTAAATAACATGAAATGAAAAGAGTCAAAAGGGAAAATAGACAAGCTGAGTTTTAGCTAAATAAAGCAACTTGTTATTTCGAACGATATTAGTCAAATGTGAAAAAGATGATCCCAAAACATGGACATTTCTGGTACTCAGTAGTGAACATAGGGCAGGTTTAAAAATAAGCAAAAGTTCTACATCGCTGTTTTACAAAAGATATCCAATTGGACGGTAATTCTGCTAGCAGGAGCTAACAACGTTAGTCACTAGGGAAATGCAAATCCAAACTATTACTAGTTTCACTTCACATTTACTAGTAGGGCTACAGCATCCACTAACCAGTGTTGACAATGGTGTGGAAAAGGTAGGAGGCTCATGCATTGCTAATAAAAATGATGGAGCTGCTGTTGATGAGCATTTGATAGTTTTTAGAAACACTGAACAGACTTTCCATATATAGTAATGGAAGAACACAATAAAAGCACGTAAGGACAGAAAGGCTTATTGTGGCTCACCATTTTAGGAGATACAGTTCCTAAAGGCATGGCAGCTGATTACAGTGCCACAATCCATTTGGTTACATTGTGTACACCTGATTATATTGTGACAATCCAGCTGGTTACATTGTGTCCGCAATCAAGAAGAAATGCGCAGGAGGAGCAACCAGGATGTAAAATCCCAGGGCCGTCCTGGAAGGGCCCACGTCTCCTGCCAAGGCTCTTCCTCCTAAAGCGTCCACAACCTTTCAAAACAGCGTCCTACGTTGGGAATCCAGTGTGCCAACAAAGAAGCACACAAATGTCTCACATTCAAATGGCAACATCGTAGCCCTGGTCCCAAGCAGTGTGCCACTATCTGATAATATAAAATGCATCCATTACAACTTCAAAAGTCTGCATGGTCTAACAAGCTTGGCTCTGTTTTAAAAACCAACATCTCGTTTGAGACTCACAGCAATCTCAGTGCTTCTTGTTTTAAAGGCAACATACCCTAATATACACCGGCACAATATAAACATTCCTATTCCAAGAGGGAGCAGTAGAGACATAGCAAAGAAATATCAAATCAAAGCAAGACTAACACCTAACAGGACAAGCATCACACTCTTCAGTTCCATTTCTAACATCTGGGGCTTGTAATGGAATCATCTGGGCCCCGGCAGCCTTGCAAAATCCCCGCCTCCAGCTCTGCCACCCACAAGTTAAGAAATCTCTCTCAGTCTAGCTCTGTACCATGAGTGCAGGTTTCCTCAAAAGACATTTATGCTCCTGGTTGTAAATGAAGACCGCTCTTTCATTACCAACGTCCCAGATCTGAATAATTACACAGAAACTATATTAATTACAACACTGTTTGACCTATTAGCTCAGGCTTCTTATTAACTAATTTTTACATCTTAAATTAACCCATTTCTATTATTTTATGTATTGCCATGAAGTTCATGCGCTACATTCATGGGCAGCTACATAGCATCTGCCTCCTTTGACAGTTACATGCTTCGCTGATTCCACCTACTCTCTCTCTCTCTCTCTCTCTCTCCCTCTCTCTCTCTCTCTCTCTCTCTCTCTTTCTATGTTTATATAGTTTGATCCCGTGGATTCTGTGATCTAAAACTTGCCATGCTCCTTTATTTACCAAACTGTAGTTTTATGTCTGTTCTCACTGCAAACCCGAGTAAGAGCTGGGATTGGTAACCATGCCACCACCTGAATGCTGTCCTGTCCCAAAACTTTTTCTACCAAAACATTTGTATGTTACTTTAAAAACTGTGTGTGTAGGCCAGGCAGTGGTGGCACATGCCTTTAATTCCAGCACATAGGGAGCAGAGACAAGTGGATTTCTGTGAGTTCGGGGCCAGCCTGGTCTAGAGAGCTAGTTCCAGGACAGGCTCCAAAGCTACAGAGAAACCCTGTCTTGAAAAACTAAAAACAAACAAACAAAGAAAAAAACTGTGTGAACACACACATGCATGCGTGTGATTTATGTTTACAGGCACAGGTGCACATTTGCCATGTTGACACGTGACATCTTTTGGAGTTCCTTTCCTCTTCCCCCATACATTACAGGGATTGCCCTGGTGTTGTCAACCTTGTGTGATGAGGGCTTTTACTCACTGAGCCATTTGCATCCCCAGTCGGTGGCTTTTAAGTTGAGCGTCACTCTAGTTCTAGGGACACAGGCAGAATGTAACTATCTGTAGCCACAATGTAACACAAATAGCTTGTGGCCCACTTCCTGATACAATTTTGCATATTTGGCCCGTTTTAATTGACTTGTCTGTTATCTTATTTCAACGTAAGAGTTCTTCTTTCTTTTGGATACCAGTCCTTCACTGGAGAAGTATCCTGCGAAAACTGTCTCCAAAAAAAAAAAGTGTTGCAGGTGCATTAACATCTTTCACCAAATGAAGACTTTAACTAGACTAACAGGGCTCTCCTTTTTCTTCTGCGCATCATCTTTGAGTGCTACATATCTCCAAGCCAAAGGTTTTGTAGGATTTTTTCCCCATAATCTTCCAAGAATTTTTAATTTTTGCATATCAGATTTGCCTCTGATAAATTAATGTTTCTGAAATTTGTATGTCCTGTGTCAAGACTTACTCATGTGAATACACAGCTAGCTTTTCTAGGTGCTCAACCATCTTTGGGGAAAAAAATGGATTTTGTTCCCTTGCATTGTTCCTTCTCCTTTATCAGAGATCAATCACTACATTGGTAGGGGCCTCTATCTCTGTTTCGTTCCATTGACCTAGTCAGAAGTCTTGTAACAGTTTGTTTATTTATGCTAAT